CAACTATTTACCTAAAATAAATTGAGTAAATCCAATAAATATTTTTTTCAGTGTACTAGTGACTAGTCTCTGTAGTTCAGTAAAGTTTTACATAGTGATGTGAAACTGTAATGCTGTCAGGACTTGCAATGGATCATGCAGGACATGCTTGATCAATTAGTCGGCTTATACGGTAGTTATCAAACCTACAGACATTGTTCAAATGTTTTATTTTAAGACATTTGCTAGGTTTTTATGCCTAAAAGGATAGTTCAACAAGAAAAAAAATATTATAATACTCACTGTCTGAAGTACTGCGGCCTGGCACTCACAAAAACTGCCATGACAGGTTTAGTTGAAAAATCTTGTGGGTCTTGCCTGAAAGTATCACTCGGCTATTTGTTAGACAAAAGACACAGCTGCGCCTCGAAATTATAATATGCATTACTTTGGAGAAACTATACTGTCAGTGGTCAGGAAGCAAAAGGTTTAATGTCTCTCACACACTGGCTGCTAGAGTTTTGAATGAAATTATGTAATTAAAACCAAAGAAAATAACTTCAGTTGTAAATATATCAATGCTAATTTGAAACTAGATTATATAAATTTATATTTAAACACCATGTAGCTTTCTTCAAAATATTTTCTTTTGTGTTTAACAAAATAGTTAATCAAATAGTTTTAAACAAGTAAAGGGGGTGAGTAAATGATGATGGCATTTTCATTTTTGGTTGAACTATTTCTTTAAACTAGACTAGATTCTAATGCATATCAATGAAGTCTCCATGGCTGATTCTGAAATGTTATTTCATAGTTAGTAAGAGAGGCTTAAGCCATGTTTGTTTCTCCTTTATGAAAGATCGAAGACACAGTACTCAACACAGTGTCTAACAAAGTGTGCAGTGTAAATTGGTCTTAATAAACCAATATACTGAATGATGCATCATCATAATCATCATCATTAACATCATCCTGCACAAGCTGAACTCATTTTCAAGCGTTACAGTGTAAATGCGTGCAGTTTTTTGAGTTTCCCAGAACTTATGCAACTATAAACAGCTCTGTTTGTTTAGATGATTAATGTGTCCTTGTCCCACAGGCACCCTAGACGACTCAGGAAATCAGATTCATTTCCATCAAGAGTCTGTGCTGCTGTTTGGAGTATTTGATGAGAACAAGAGCTGGTACAGCACTGGGGACTCTCCACAGCCTCTGAATGTCAAATACACAATAAACGGCTACACAAATGGCTCAGTACCAGGTTGGTTCGATACAGTTTTTTGCAAAAGTCTTAGGCCACTAGCATTTTCACCAACAAAAAAAGTTTTGGTGTAGTATGCGAGTAGAAATATATTTTCCAAACATTATTTTTGCTATTTTTGATATTTATAGTCACCATCATCGAATACAACTTGAAAAACATGACGAAATAGAACAAACTGATACAGACTAAATCCAGTAGAACATCTTCAAGACACTTCAGGAACCTGACACTGTAAAAAGGTTTTAGGCACTTGTGTAAGAATGCTGTAAAGTGTGTATGCTTCAAAAATAATGCCTTAAAGGGGACCTATCATGCCGATTTTCTCAAGATGTAAAGTAAGTCTCTGATGTCCCTAGAGTGTGTATGTGATGTTTTAGCTTAAAATACCCCACAAATAATGTTTTATTATTCTTTGAAACTGCCCCTTTTAGGCTCTAATCCAAATTGTGATGACTGTCACTTTAAATTCAAATGAGATTGAGCTCCCAGCCATTTTTTCAAAAGAGAGCGAGGCTACAAATGCCTATGTGTCAGCAGAGTTGCAGATTCTACAACAAGACTAACATACTATGCTAATGAGGGAGAGATCTTCACTAATGGGCGGGGCTTTTCCCCTCTTCTTACATGTATAAAAGGGAAAATGTCAATCAGTGTGTTTCTGCAGACGGTTTTTAATAAGTGTGATTATAAAAATAAATTTAATACATTTTCACTATAGAAGCTGGTAATATTTACACTCTGTTGCCACACAACTTTGTTTAAACCCCTTTAAAAGTAATTTTTATATAATAGGTCCTGTTTAAATAGATTTGATTCATCAATTAACTTCTATTAACTTATTTAAATTAAATTTTGGTGTAACCACCTTTGTGTTTAAAACTTATTTTATCCTCCTGTAGGTATATTTGCTCAAAATATTTCTTAGTTAGCTTTGCAGATAGGTTTCTTGAATTTTTTTGCAAATGTTGCCACAGTTTTTCTGGATTTAGTCTGTTTTATTTTGTTCTGAATCGTCATCAGACTAGATGATGGTGAGATCAGATCTCTGTGTGGAGCATTGACTGCTGCCAGACTGCCTGTGTATACAAGGCTACGTCACACTGCTATGCTTTAGTGCTCAAATTAGATTTTTTCTCAGATCTGATTGTTTTGCATAGCTGTTCATGTTGTTGTTATAAATGAGGCCAAAACTGACTTGCATGCGCGAAAGTACAGTTACGGACAGCACAATATGTCAAAATATGCACACAATGTGTATTCTGTATGAAGTAAGCACGTTGGCAGATTAGATTTAACATGATTATTACCCTTTTCACAGACAACCTTGGTGTATTTTATGAACTGTAAAGGCTTGTTCTGCTACTACTAATGTGTATTTCGGCATTTGAAACCTAAAATAAGGTCTCTTGTGATTGAAAACACTGATCATTGTGTAATGAAGTCATCAAGGGTTAATGAGTTGTCATATTGATATCATTTTCATATCATAGTCTTTCATATTTGGTTTTGTTAATGTATTAATTATTTAAGGGAAATGTACTTATTTTATGTAGACCTATGTGTTTTATTCATTTTATATATGTAATTTATATGCACAGATTTTTAATGTTAAATCTAACTGAACAATATATATTTTTAAAGGGTTAATCATTAATTATGGTTAACAAGTGCAAGTTTTGCATAATTTTTTTTTTCAAAATAAACAACCAAATTTTTGTGGTAAAGTATTAGCCCTGTGTGCTATTCTACTATGCTGCTAGGGGTAGATGATGTTTGCAGCACCGAATGATGACGCATGGCACTCGAAGATTGTGTAAAAGTCACATTAAATCCTACATACCCGTTCACACTGCGGTCCCATTGCAAAACATCAGATGTGTATCTGATTTAATAATATATGAAACTGGCACAAATCTGATTTGAAAAGATCAGATTCGATGTGGCTTGGGCTCTTCTCACTGTCAAAACAAAAACAGAGTCACATGTGGGCAAAAAAATCTGATTTGGGCTACATTTGCCTGCAATATGAACATAGCCTCAGTGTCAGTGTCTCACTGAACTATTACAATTTGTAGAACAAAAAATGTAGAAATGCAAACATATATTTCCTACTCATTCACTATATCAAAACACAATAAATAACTAAAAATAACTGATAACAAATAACTAAAATGTAATCAAGTGTTGGTGTAGTTGCCTTTTGCCACTACACCAACAAGACTTTTGCACAGTACTGAATTTCTCACATAACACGTTCATTTCTTGCAATCTGCTTACATGTAAAACTCCTCTCTGTCGTCCTCCAGATCTGGACATCTGTGCCCACTCTAAAGTCAGCTGGCACCTGCTGGGAATGAGCTCAGAGCCAGAGCTTTTCTCTGTACACTTCAATGGGCAAGTCCTTCTGCACGATGGGCACAAAACTTCAGCTGTTGGCATTATTAGTGGAACTGCCACCAGTGCCAGTATGACCGGTGTCCACCCTGGCCGCTGGCTCGTTTCCTCGCACATTAGCAAGCACTTGGAAGGTAAAACCTGCCAGAGAATACATGACACATTTATTCAATAAAAATCAACATTTGCATCCTGAACTCCACAGTTTCAGTATTAATGCTTATAGTTCGTACTTAAGGTGATTGCAGCGGCATTTGCTGAAAATGTGATTATCTTGTGTGTAGCTGGTTTGCACGGGTACCTAAATATCAGGAAGTGTGATGAGTATACGGCGCCAAAAAGACGGCTTACCATTGAACAGAAAAAAGAGAGTCAAGAGTGGACTTACTATATGGCAGCAGAAGAGGTCATCTGGGATTATGCGCCAAATATGCCAGAAAACATGGACGGGTATGTACATCATGACTTATCAAATAAGACAAGCTCTTGTATGACAATCTTATGGGTGTGTTTTTATCTCTTTTAAACTTAGGGATTTCCGGTCAAAATATTTAAAGCAGGGGCCTCAGCGGATAGGTAAAAAATATAAAAAAGCTGTGTTTACTCAGTATAAAGATGGCATGTTTAAAGAGAGAGCGGAAGATAAGCAGAGGAAGAGAGAGCTTGGAATTCTTGGCCCAGTGATTAGAGCTCAAATCAGAGACATCATTAAGGTAAACGGCTTCTCACGTTCATTTTACTTCAGGATAAAACGTAAACAGAATGTCTGATGGTTTTGGTCAGGATTCATGATTATTGTGATGTTGTTTCAATAGATTGTCTTTAAAAACAAAGCATCACGTCCCTATAGTATCTATCCCCATGGACTGACCATAGATAAAGCAGCAGAAGGAGCCAGTTACCCTCAGGGAGGTTTGTCTAATATCTGTTAATTCATTAATATTTATCTACGCACACACAATCTCTTTTATATGTGGTTTACAAGGATTTTTATATTTTACTACACAGTTGCACACGTGTAAAGCCCCACTACACTCATTGGCCACTTTTTTAGGTACACCTTACTAGTACTGGGTTGGACCCAATTTTGCTTTCAGAACTGCCTTAATATGCCTCATGGCATAGATTCAATTAGATAGTGAAAAAATTCCTTAGAGATTTTGCCCCATATTGACATGATAGCTTCATGCAGTTGCTGCAGATCTGTCGGCTGCACATCCATGATGCAAATCTCCCGTTCCACCCCATCCAAAAGGTGCTCTGTTGAACTGAGATCTGGTGACTGTGGAGGCCATTTGAGTACAGTGAACTCATGTCATGTTCAAGAAACCAGTCTGAGATGATTTGCACTTTATGACATGGTGTATTATCTTGCTGGAAGTAGCCATAATGATCAGCAACAATACTCAGGTAGGCTGTGGTGTTGACACGATGCTCAATTGGTACTAATGAGCCCAAAGTTTGCCAAGAAAACATTCCCCAAACTATCACACCACCACCACCAGCCTGAATCGTTGATACAAGGCAGGATGAATTCATGCTTTCATGTTGTTGATGCCAAATTCTGACCCTACCATCAGTATGTTGCAGCAGAAATCGAGACTCATCCGACCATGCCACATTTTTCCAATCTCCTATTGTACAATTTTGGTGAGCCTGTGCTAATTATAGCTTTAGTTTCTGGTGCTTAGCTGACAGGAGTGGCACCTGGTGTTTTCCTCTGCTGCTGTAGCCCATCCACCTCAAAGTTTGACATGTTGTGTGTTCAGAGATGCTCTTCTGCATACCTCGGTTGTGGTTGTTTGAGTTACTGTTGCCTTTCTATCAGCTAGAACCAGTCTGGCTGTTCTCCTCTGACCTCTGGCATCAAGGCATTAGCGCCCACAGAACAGCCGCTCACTGGATATTTTCTCTTTTCAGATCATTCTCTGGAAATCCTAAAGATGGTTGTGCGTGAAAATCACAGTAGATCAGAGGTTTCTAAAATACACACACCAGCCAGCTGGCACCAACAACTATCCCACATTCAAAGTCACTTAAATCACCTTTTCTTCTTAATTCTGATGCTCAGTTTGAACTGTAGCAGATCGTCTTAATCGTGTCTAAATGCCTAAATGCATTGAGTTGGCTGATTACAAATTTGCGTTAACAAGCAGTTGGACAGGTGTACCTAATAAAGTGGCCGCTAAGTGTACATTACTGTGCTTACTTCTCAAAGGAACAACCAAAGTGAAAGCTATTATTCAAAGCCTTAAAATGAAGACATAATTATTATTGTTGTAAATTTAAAGATGTTTTTAACTGCTCATTTTTCACCATACAATAGAGTATTTAATATTATATATTATTTACTTATTTTATATTGAATTGGAGGGAAAAATGGGGCTGTGGCCTTGGACAGCACTTTGAATCTTTCTCTCTATGGTTACTGTAGATTTTGTAACGAGTAAAATCTTTGTCTATGCAAATGCTTTATTCATCCAATAATAGTCCTTCATTCAAATTATTTTATATAGCAATATTGCACTAATATGCTAAAGATTGTCATGTCAGATTCTTCTAACTTGAGTGTGACTGAACTGAGAAAATATCTGGTGTTCATTTTAAAGGGAACCAAACATACAGCGTTCAGCCAGGAGAGACGTACACATATACATGGAGTGTGACTGAGGAAGACGTACCAACGGACAGTGACCCCAGATGTCTAACCAGGATGTACCACAGTGCAGTGGACGCTCCTCGAGACATTGCTTCAGGTCTTGTTGGCCCTCTGCTCATCTGTAAGAGCCAGTCTCTTAACAAAAAGAATGTCCAGGTAACTAATATTTAGATCACTGAATCATGAGATTCAAAATCTAACCTTAAATAACTCATCAGAGGTGATCTATGAATGAGATGACTATTGAAAAAAGGGTGCAGCAAAGGTGCTTTATTGGCCAAAATATTTGAAAGAATTGCAAGTATAATTCACAGATAGCAAAAAAAAAAAAAACAGAATGTGCTGATCAATGTGATAAAATATCTGTAATTAAGCAGTTTTTCATATTTTTATTTTTTCTGCTGTATTTCTGCTTTTGAATTGCATTATGAGATATTAATCTTTCTTCTGACAACGTTTAACCTTAAAATGTTGGAAAAAGTGACTTTTATTAACCTTTTTAATAAGTTTAAAGTGATATATTGTCTGGGTTGGTTGTGTATATTGTGGTACAAAAACCTTGTAATAAGCTGCCAGTACATTTTCTGTTATTTTACAGATTTATTTTATTATATATTATTTCTTATACATTGTATTACTGTATTATTATTATTTTAAATGTACAATATCTAATATTTGAGGGTCATGTTTTTTTCAACTTTTTTTTTTTTAGCTCACTGACAAACTACCATTAAAATGTTTGTAAAAGAGTTGCTCCTTATGTTAAATGTTTCAAAAAATGTGGCTTAAGCTGCTGTCAACACTTCTCTATTTCAGCTAAAAGCTGACAAGGAGCAGCATGCCATGTTTACCGTTTTTGATGAGAACAAGAGCTGGTACCAAGATGAGAACATTAACACATACTGCAGTGATCCCAAAAAAGTGAAGAAAGACGATCCCGAGTTTTACAAGTCAAATGTCATGCACAGTGAGTGATTTTCTGCTATTATTTCTGATATCATCATATTGCTGTTGATTGATATATGCTACGATGTGTTTATAAAAACTCTTACAGCAATCAATGGTTATGTATATGAAAGCGGCCAAGAATTGGGATTTTGTCATGGTGAAATTGTGACTTGGCATGTGTCGAGTGTTGGGGAACAGGATTACATCCAGACTGCTACTTTCTATGGTCATACATTTGAGCTAAAAAACAGAGAAGAGGATATACTCAGTCTATTTCCTATGACTGGTGAAACTATCACGATGAACATGGTTAATATAGGTATGTTTGTCTGATTAGACTATCCAAATTACTTGTAATAAATTAGTTTTAGAATTTAAATATTAACTATACAAACATACACATTGTACAACAAAAACTGAATGCAACCTCAATATCTCCACTTTACAGGTATTTGGCTTTTGGCATCATTGAACTCGCATGATTCCACTAAAGGGATGAGGGTGAAATTCAAAGACCTCGAATGCTTCAGAGATTATGTAATAGAATATGATTATGAGGACGGGAAATTCACTGCATGGAAACCACCGACTATTAATGAAATCAAAAAAGAGGAACCGGTCCGTGCAAGACCTGACGTGGTCGACGAGTACTCTGATTTATTTGCTGAAACCCTCAACTTAAGGACGTTCAACAATGTTAAAGATGAAGTTGAGATAATCGACTTGACATTTCTAGATCAAGATGATGGTTTGTTGCCCATTGTTGAAGAAAAAAGCCTGGGATCAAGCAACGAGAACTTACACAATGCTACTTTACAATCTTTCATTGAGACTCATGGTTTATTAATGGAGGAAGGTGATTTAGACAAGGGAGAATCTTCTAATAAAGTCTTGAATGACAGCACAGACAAGGCATTGCTAGAGACAACAACTACTTTTGATTCCAATAGAGTTGTCGCATTAAACAACGAAACGGACAGTATAATTTTAGATTTTCCAATTGTAGAAAGAAAGGTTCGTAGTGCACCATCAAAGCCAATGAACGAACCTGAAAGTGTCACTATGAACTTTAAAACAACAGAACATATCAATTCATCATTAGAGAGAATCAATGCTATATATTCCCCAATAACTGAAACAAACATCAACACAATGACTGAGACACACACTGATTTCAGTATCACTCCATTTGATGGTTCAACTGGAGAAATGAACTTCACACTAGAGGATGACACCGCACTTCTAAATTCATCTGAATCAGAGCCCCTGCAATCAAACCAAAACTCCGAAAACAGAATAGCTTTTCAAGAAGAGCTAAATGCAAAAGATGGCACAGATGTTGACAGTAATAATTCTGTGAAAAATCAGATCTTCAAATACAACGTGCCTAGTGGTGACACTCTGTCCAACAGCTCAAAGATACAAGTTGAGGAGGATTTTGTGCTTCTGGACAGTAGTTATTTTTCAGAAATGTCAACAACTATGGAATATGATGTTTCACAAAAGGACACTGTAAAAGGTGAATCAAAAGAGACTGCACAAAGTCAAGAACTCAGCAGCACAAAGAAAACTTACTCTGGTGAAATAATTTTGGAGAGTCTTCCTGACATAACAAGTGCTTTTAATCTGAATTCATCTTCAGTTTTGAGAAACAACAGTTTGGAGAGCAATGAGTCCTCAAATGAAACTTTGTTCATGTCTTCAAATGCTACCTTCTCTGATTCAACAAATGCAACCTCGTCTGATTCCTCAACAGCAACCTTCGCTGATTTCTCAAACACAACCTTCTCAAACGCAACCTTCTCTGATTTCTCAAATAGGATTTCTCAAATGTCTGATTCCTCAAATGCAACCTTGTCTGATTCCTCAAATGCAACCTTGTCTGATTCCTCAAATGCAACATTGTCTGATTCCTCAAATGCAACATTGTCTGATTCCTCAAATGCAACATTGTCTAATTCCTCAAATGCAACCTTCTCTGATTCCTCAAACAAAACCTTCTCTGATTCCTCAAATGCAACCTTGTTTGGTGTTTCATATTCCTCAAACACAACCTTGTCTGACTTCAGTCTTGAATCTGAAATGACAGAGTATATACTGTCATCTGCTAATGATACAATAAAATCTCACAGTGAAGTTGTAAGCAACACTTCACAGCTTTCCTCTTCAGAAAGCACAGAGAATATATCGTTGTTGTATGGCTCTCTCAATGCTTCATCCATGAAGAACGACTCAGAAAGTGAAAGCGAAGAAGAAGTGGTTATCTACCTAAATAAAAATCACAGTGAGGCAATCCTCACATCTCATCTCGACCAAAAAGAAGAGCACTGGGGTTATGAAAGCAAACACGAGCTGGTTCATAAGGAACTCCCAGATCACATGAACAAATATGTCAAAGATAAGTCTGCAGCAAACTCGAACAAGCCAAAGATCGAAAAGGAAAAGAAAAAAGTTTACCAAAGAGTAAAGCCAAAAAAGGGGTACGGGATGAAGACGAAGAAAAGTAAAGACTACAAACCGCAGCCGCGTTCGTCATTTTCTCCAAGAGGTTTTGGACCATCTGTGTTAACTCCAAGGGGAAGCAGACCTGTCTCTAGCGAGGATGAACTGACGGAGAAACCTATTGTCATAGGAGTGCCAAGACGGGATTTCAATGATTATGAGTTATATATTCCAAAACAAGACCAGGAAGCAGATTTTGATGGCTTGCTTGATCACCCAGAAGAATATGAATATGTAGAGTATAAAGACCCTTACAGCAAAACAGCAGATGTTCAAGCTCTTGACGCAACATCCCAGCATCTCTTAAAAATGGCTGGAGACAAGAATACCAGGACCTATTTCATCTCGGTTGAAGAAGAAGAATGGGATTATGCTGGCTATGGGCAGAGGTATTGTCAGCCTTATGAGTTTCAAATAACCAACACACCATGCAGGGCAGTAGTCAGACATTAACGATGATGAGAACTAGAAAATCTTGCACTGCTATGCTGCGCTACATTAATGAGAGCTCGGTTGTTAGGATAACAAAAAGATTTCAAATGAACATTTTAGGTTGGTTCGACCTAACATTCTTGGAGCTCTTAGAATGAAATAAAAGTTTTTGGGGTATGGTTTACATACACTGTAAAAACATTCTGTTATTTTATGGGGGGTTTTTTGTCTGGCAGCTGGGGTGTCAGAAAAAACTCGTAAAAAAATAACGGCTGTTAAATTACCAGAATTTACTGCAAAATAAAGGCCATTAAATTATTGAAATTTACCGTAAAATAACAAAGGTCAAATTACAGAAATTTAACGTAAAATTACAGATGTTAAATTACAGAAATCTACCATAAAATAACGGATGTTAAATTACAGAAATTTACTGCAAAATACCGCTGCTATATCACAGAAATTTACTGTAAAAAACGGAAGTTGAATTACAGAAATTTGCTGTAAAATAACAGAGGTTAAATGACAGAAATTTAACAAAATAACGGATGTTAAATTACAGAAATTTACCGTAAAAAACGGCTGTTAAATTTACAGTAAAATAACGGAAGTTAAATTACAAAAACCTACCGTAAAATATCGGCTGTTACAATATATAAATTTACTGTAAAATAACAGTCCTTAAATTACAGAAATTTACCATAAAACAACGGCTGTTAAATTACAAAATTTCCTTAAATTTTTAATTTCCGGTAAATTTCTGTTTTTTAATATCTGTTATTTTACAGTAAATTTCTGTAATTTAACGGACGTTATTTTATGTCTTTTTCCAGTACCCTAGTACTAAACCGAAGGAGATGAATGAATAAATAGTGTTTTTTTTTTAAGTGAGACATTTAATTCCTAACTGAATTTGATGAGCCAAGACAAGTTTAGCATTTTTAACATATTAGGAATACAAATAAGACTGAATGTGTGCATGTTTTAAAATAATATTTGGAAATAATTAAAAATTATAACTTCCCACCTAGAATTCGACTACATCATTCTGTTTCTTCAAATGTTATTTAAAAATAAGTCCCTCAAAATCATCAGAATTTCTGGAGAACGTTTTAAATAAATGAATCTAAAACTAATTTGCTAATTCCTGTTTGCAAAGGCGACTTGATAAAACAGCTCAAAATGAGAGGCCCACGGTTTTCAGAAAAGTGGTGTTCCGAAGGTACCTGGACAGCACCTTTAGCATCCGAGACATCCGAGGAGAAATGGACGAACACCTGGGAATTCTTGGTCCGCTCATTAAAGCGGAAGTTGATCAGACCGTTATGGTAAACCACACACTTGTGAAGAAATCAGAATTGGAAAGCATCACGTCTATAAAATGAATATTAACAATTGCATTCTGGTTTTCCATGCTAGGTATTTTTCAGGAACCGTGCAAGTCGTCCATACTCTTTGCATGCAAATGGAGTAAAATACTTAAAACAAATGGAAGGCCTGAGTTATGATGATGAATCTCCATACTGGTACAAACAGGACGATGCTGTTCCACCCAATGGCACCTTTACCTACATGTGGACCATAAATCCCAAATCTGGACCTCAAAATAATGAATCTGACTGCCGAACTTGGACCTACTACTCTGCAGTGAATCCTGTACGCATGAATCTTATCATAATATGGTTTTTATTCCTCCAAGGAGCAAGCCAATAATCACAGATTGCTAATAATTAAATATAATGAATGTCTTGAAAAGCCTTTATACTCATTTTAACTTCTCACATAGGAGAGAGATATAAACTCAGGGTTGATTGGGCCACTTCTGGTGTGCAGGAAGGGTACACTTGATAAAAAGCCTGAAGACAGAAGAGAGTTTGTCCTGCTTTTCATGACATTTGATGAAAATAAAAGCTGGCTCTATGAAGAGAATCGGCAGAGGATTGAAAGGAAAAACAGAAGAGTGGTCATGGATCCAAATTTCCAAGATAATTTAAAGTTTGATGGTAAGAACGGTTTGTTTGTTTGTTTTTGTATTTATTTATTTAATACAGTAACAATTGATTAAGACTAGGCTTCTGCCAATGTCAGATTTTTTGTTGTAATTAATTGCTGAAGCTTTGGCAATTTGGTATTATCGCAATATTGAAGTTGCAAAAATTATTTTATTATAACAGGTATATTAACAAAAAGTAACTTTTTTTTTAAATACAACACATAAGTTTGTATATTGTATGTACATGTCCAGAGTAAATAAATGGTTTAAACCAGATATGCCCAAAACAGGGCCCGCGGGTCAAAGTTTACCCTTTGTATTTGGCTCGCCAGAGGATTAAAATGCAAAATAATTGGGAAGCTTTGGGGAATGCCTTTTTTTCGGGGTTTTTCACCTTTATTGGATAGGACAGTAGAGAGCAGAGAAAGGGTAAAGATCAGCATAAGACCATGAGGCAGTAATTGAACTTGGGTCGCCATGAGCACCTGAGTGCATGTGTCGACACACTAACCACTACACCACTGGTGGCGATGTTTGGGGAATGCCTTTAACAGAGATTCTCATTTCTATTTCACTGTAAATGTAAACAATGTAAATTGAAGAATGATATTGTCTGCGGAACTTAGGTTGAAGCAAACCAAGAGATTTGTATAATATGCAATAATGAGTTCTACATGGACATCTTAAAACAAACCTAGAGAATTGAAGACAGTATTTAAAGGTTTTAAATTAATATCAGCTCAATGATAGGTAAAATTAGTTGAGAAATCATTTTTTTTCTTAAATCAAATGAAAAACAATTAACAGAACGATAAAGAGAACCTAAGCACTGACATGAGTTTTTAATTATAAAATCAGTATGGGGTTTAAAGGACAGTTCAGTATCGAGCCAAAGACCTAGATATTTAAATTTGTCAACATTACACAACCGTTACCCATCATCAAATCTAACATCTATGTCTAACGAATGAAACCGTTGAGACTTTTTAAAGAATGCCATCCTACAAGACTTCTTTTTAATTAGCATAAGTTTGTTTCATATCAACATTGTGCATGTTCATTATCACCATATACTGAATTATGTCTAATTAGGATTAAATATGTGCAGTGTAATTATTTAAAATTTGCACACTTAAAATTGCACTTATCCATCGTACTACATTGCACTAATTCATTTTGAATTGTACATACCCACTGTACATATACATTTGTAATTATGTTCATATCTACCTGCAATACCCTGATTATTAACAGCAACCTGTACAAATCTTTGTTGTACTTAATCCAGCTGTAAATATCACCATAGTTTTTCTATAATTGCACTTTATAACTTGTACCCATATCCTGCACTTACTGCTATTGCACTCCTGGTTAGACCTAAACTGCATTCCGTTGCCTTATACTTTGACATGTGTAATGACAATAAAGTTTAATCTAATCTAATCTAATCTAATCTAATCACAAGCAGAGAGACAGTTGTACCAAAAACTGACAACTTCATAAAATATTTCTTCTATTTTTAACATTTGTTTTACCAGCTATCAATGGTATCATCTACAGTCTCAAAGGACTTCGAATGTACACAAATCAGCTGGCGAAGTGGCATCTGATCAACATGGGCTCTCCTAAAGACCTCCACAGTGTTCACTTCCATGGACAAACATTCATAAATAAAGAATTAAAGGACCACCGTCAGGGCGTTTACCCGCTTTTACCAGGTCTGTAGTAAGAAATCTACTTACCTAAAAAATCTGAAAAAAGCTATTTACACTCAGCTACTGTCATTTAGGTGGATTTGCCACGCTGGAAATGCTGCCTTCAAAGCCTGGTCTCTGGCAGCTGGAGTCTGAAGTCGGACTCTCACAGCAGAGGGGAATGCAAACGCTATTTCTTGTGTTGGATAATGGTATAACAGAGATATTCTGTACTGAAGTTTGATGAAAGCTATAAAAAGTATCGAGTCTGTCAGGTTTTAAGATCTTACCTCATATATTTTGCAGTCTGTGATCACCCTCTTGGTCTCATCTCTGGGACTGTGCAAGATGAGCAAATAACAGCATCTGACACTAGAGGTAGGATCTGAAAGCATAGTTTGTGTTTATTTATTTGGGATGTGTGTGTGTGTGTGTGTGTGTGTGTGTGTGTGTGTGTGTGTGTGTGTGTGTGTGTGTGTGTGTGTGAGATGATATTAAAATTTACCTTTTTGATTAAGGACAATGGTATCCTCATTTGGCCAGACTTCATAATACAGGGAAATACAATGCATGGAGTACATCGTCAGAGCCAGGACAGTACTTACAGGTATAACCACTCACTTAGGATGGCGTGCAGATAATTAGCCCATAAATTGAGAAATGCTAATGACCAGTTATTTGAGAAGAGTGTATCCTGCTTTTCCAGGTGGACTTCCAGAGGCCGGTGGTGATTAGTAAAGTCGCCACACAAGGAGCCAAACAATTTTTGACACACAACTTTGTGTTGAACTACACCATTTCCTACAGCACTGACAAAAAGAAGTGGATCTACTACAAGGGAGACAGTGATGCTGTCAGAAAGGCAAGTGACTATTTTTGTGTATTAACCCATTGAATGCATGGATCACCATATATGGGCTGTTCACACTGAATGCATTTTTCCAATCCACTGTTGTGGTTCTCAACACTAGGGGGCCTCGGGAAACTTCTAAGGTCACCCTTCAAAATGACTTTACAACTGTTTAAAACAAACTAAATGGAGAAAAACAAAACCAGATGATAATTCTTTTCATTATCCTCCCCATCATAGCGTTTTTAAAAACTAGATAACACATATAATATAGTGTGAATTTTGGTAAAATAATGTGATACAATCATAAAAACAAATGCACATTTATTGGTTAAGTTTTAGAACATTTTATTGGGCTATTTTTTAAAAATCTGTATCCTTAAAGGGGTGGCTGACCCAAAAAAAGATTTTTTTGTAACATTATTTGCTGAAACTGTGGTTCTGGCCATTTAAAAAAGATGCAAGCCATAAAGCCAATAAATACCAGCACTCAAATTAATGATAATAGTTAAATGATGTTTTTACATAGCAGTATGTTTTTACGCTGATAATTTAAATGTATCAGTTTTTTTCTAAATCTGAACACATTCTGTGTGTGTGGCCCATAAGATATACACAAAACTAATGTATTTTTCAATGCCCGGCAGACTTTTGAAGGAAATGCTGAAGCTTATGAGACGAAGGAAAATATATTTTTCCCACCTCTGATTGGTCGATATGTGAGACTGCATCCTTTACATTCTTACAACTTCCCGACTGTCCGTTTGGAGTATTATGGTTGTGAGCTTGATGGTATGGATGAAAATAAAACAGATTTTTTTTATTCATATTACTTTTTAAACACAAAATCTGTCTTTGTTGTCATTAATGTCTTCATTGTGTGCTGGCAGGCTGCTCTGTGCCATTAGGAATGGAAAAAGGTCTTATTGATGACAGTAAAATCACTGCCAGTTCTGTGGCATCCAACTGGTACTCCGGACAGTGGCATCCTTGGTATGCTCGCCTAAATAAACAAGGAACCGCCAATGCATGGCAAGCAAAGGTAAAGACATTAAGAAATCATTAATTAAGCCTTTGGTATCGCATTAATACCATAAAACTTCAACTGATGGTCTTAATAACTGTCTGCAATCTACAGAACAATGACATTCAGCCTTGGATCCAGGTGGAACTCAAAGAAGTAAAGAAGATAACTGGAATTGTAACACAGGGAGCCAAATCAATGGGCAATGAAATGTTTGTGAGATCTTATATTTTGGAATATAGTGAAGATGGCAGGCGATGGATGAAGTACACAGATGATGATGATTATGAGCAAAAGGTATGAGGCTTCTCATGTGTTCGTTTATTTACATTTTTTGGTTTCTTCACAATGACAAAGTGACTTCTTGACTTTTACAGCTATTTCAAGGCAACACAGATAACAATGGCCAAATAAAGAACTACATCTACCCGCCGATATTTTCCAGATTCATCAGAATAATACCAAAACAATGGCAGAAATCCGTCACCATGAGAATTGAGCTGCTGGGTTGTGATTTCGAATAAACACTTTGCTGTCTATGGTGGATTTTGTTTTTAATCTATATTTTCTTTGCTAGTAAATAAATGCTTTCTTTTAAACAAGTGTGTGTTTATTTTGTGTTTATGAGGTTGATGAATGCATAACTTTAATGTAGTTCTCACTTCCTTCCCACAGTCAAACTGGCCGCTATTCGCCAACTAGTTTCTGGTCAGCTAAAGACACAACACACACACACACACACACACACATATGAATGCAAGTAATGCCAAGGTTTTTAAAAGAGGGAGTAACTAGGGGAGAGAAAATGGTCAGAAAGACATAGCAGATAGACACAGACAGACAAACAGACGGTATGACAGACAGACAGACAGACAGATAGATAGATAGATAGATAGATAGATAGATAGATAGATAGATAGATAGATAGATAGATAGATAGATAGATAGATAGATAGATAGATAGATAGATAGATAGATAGATAGATAGATAGATAGATATAATTTACCTCATTATTTAAACAACTTCTATCATGTATGTATATATCTATATCTATTTTGTATATCCGTTGTCTTGCGTTAAATATAATTTTCTATCGTGTTATAGCAGATTGTTTTGTTTTAAGCACAGCTGCACTTTTGTTTTTAACACTTTTTAGTAGAAGACATTCATAAATAGTAATTAACACTATTGGGCGCTGTATTTTTGCAGTAAGTAGATTATATACTTCGAGTATAGTCTGTGAGAGAGACCCTTCGGTTTGTCTGTAGAGCTGGAGATGGAGGGAAGTTTTAAGACGAGGATTTCCGACGCCGTCGTGACGTCACCAGCGCCTCTTTATTCACCGCCGACCGCAGCAGCCGCAACAAATGAACGTCTCGTAATCAGTTAATACTTTGTAACCGCTTTAAAACTTGGAAAATGCGTCTCTGGGAAGTGTTATCGTTCCGCGAGAGCGTGAGAAAACCGAGCATCTTACAGGAGGAGAGAAAGTTTGGATTAAAGTTAGTAGCCGCTGTCTAACAAAGCCAGTCTGGAGAAAGTTACTCCTGCTGCTGCACCATAGCGGGATCTCGCCTCGACAGGCCCCGAGAACTGGTAAGTTAAGCATGCATTTGTCTTTTCATTAGCATATGCTGTGAATTTCTAATGTTAAGGAGCTATAGGATCACATTTTTGATGCATTGCAAAATATCGTTTTGTTGGAAATCTGAGATTGGAATCTGCGCTGTCGAAGGTGGTCTCTCCGCTACGCTATCAGATCGCATTTCTGTTGGTTGGTTGTTCACACTGGACTGGATCATGGTGAAGGCTTTTATAGCAGAGACATGACAGATGCACATGCATTGGCTTCAAACGCATAGAGATGATTAAACTGTCATTTAAAATTCTAAATCGTTGCATTACAGGAATCCATCATGATTTGCAGACAAGCTCTGTTGGATCATTTGCTTAAGCATGTTTGTATTTTTTCATTCAATCTGTATGTGGATATTTTGTCCTTAAAATCATTTTTTCATTTATTTGTTAGCGTTATTATTATTATTTGTTTTTATATTTTTAAAATGCTTTTTTGCTAATTTAAAATTTAGTTGAGGGTTTCTGAAAAGTCTCAATTCTCCTTTTTACAATGTAAAGCCAATAAAAAGATCCTTAAAAAACTGTTTAAAATTCTTAAGTCATTGCATTTACTGCATAAGTCTTTGCTATTTTTCTTTTAGAAGTTGTCATCTTTAAGTTAAGATCCATTTACTTGTGATTCAAAACTAAGAAATTAAATCTTGTTTCCTGAGAATCCGAACAAAGTTTAGTTGCTTATTTATCTAATGTTCTTAATTCTGAGTTAGGGTTATGGTTATATTATTTACGTTTTATATATATATATATATATATATATATATATATATATATATATATATATATATATATATATATATATATATAAGTTTATTGCAATTGACAATCAAGACAAAAATACTGATAAAAAAACAACACCTTTGTAAAGTGTGATTAGAAGTAGGGCTGGGCCATTTGGCCTAAAATCAAAATCTCGATTAATTTAATATTTTAACTTGATTACAAATAATGAACGATTATTTAATTTATATATTATTATAATATTTTTATTTTACCCTAATATTTTACTGACAAATTTTGTAGAGTAAATATAACTTGATATTAAAATATTTGAAGGCAGCACACACTATCTACTATCTATGCTTATTTATTGAACATCAGCATTGAACAACTAAAATTAAAACATGCATTGCCTAAAACCAACAAAGATCAGATGTGGCTGCAGAAGTATTAATCAGCCTTTAAAAAAAAGACTTAAAAGAGCAGGGTCACGTGACTCCACATGTGGTTGGGAAAGTAATTTAAAAAATCGTCCTGGAAAAATTTTATAGATTATAAGTTCTGAATGTCGATTTCGATTACTTTTTGACTAATCGCCCAGCCCTAATTAGAAGGTAAATTAATTAATTATTATTGCAGATTTTGGTGTATTGGACCAGAGTTTAACAAACCTTAAGCTTTTTTATTTTTACATAATGGAGATTATAATGCAATATTTATAATTTAGTATTTTCAAGCATTAAAATTGTCATGGCAATTTCAAATAAAGAGACTCTTAACGATCAGGAGACAAAGTCTTACAAGGTTTACTTGCAAAAAGATTTTATTCTTTTCAAAGAATAGGTCCGACAGTCATACAGGAACACTGGTTGCTGCAGAGTGCAATACACAGGCTAGCCAGACACCAGGTTTTATCTTCTTTACCCTGCTTCAAGGCCCGCTTCATCTTAGTTGACGCCCAGTTCTCTTTAGAGCATTAGATTTTAGAGCCAGGATTTGCACTTATTGAATACACATGTTTAAAGCAGAACACATTCTGAATGACCCTTCTTGTAATATTTGTTTTTGTTAGGAAGGCATATGCATCTTAATATACAGTATGATGTTTATATTAAGGAAGAGAAGTTTCATATGAATCAATGTTTTAGTAATGCTAAAAAGAAATTCCTCCACAAAGTGCTGCAAACACACCTCATTATATTCTCCCTTAGAAAACTTATTGATACATAATAGAATGCAGTATTTGTCTTTAATTGACTTTAAAAAAAATCTGAAAATTACCATTAAAAGATCTGCATAAATGTTGTTGTTGTTTACTATACACAATTGTGTATATATATTGCTGTTATCGTTAACTATAGCTAAGGTATTTTGCTTTCACACCTTGGGTTTCTTCACAGCACAGCTTAGTTCTTCACAAACAGCGCATTGTAAGGGTGCATAATCCACTTTAAGTTGTAGAAATGCAATCCGCTTGTTTTGAAATGCTTCATGGCCTAAAATGAACCCAGCACCCTAGACCATTTCTTCATGATCAGACTTTTTTTCTTTTTCTCTCCTGTCTTGTAGTTTGTCAACATGCCTCTCAAGTCATTGGCAACCAGAAGCCTCCCATAATGAACGGCTCTAAGAATGGGACGGCGGTGGCCAACTCCACTAATGGCCTGGATGACAACGGGCTCATGGTCCTGGAGTCTGTCTCTATCATCATCATAGCCATACTGGCATGTCTGGGGAATCTGGTCATTGTGGTGACTCTTTATAAAAAGCCCTACTTGCTAACACCCAGCAACAAGTTTGTCTTCAGCCTGACTTCATCCAATTTGCTATTATCAGTTCTAATGCTGCCGTTTGTTGTGGCCAGTTCGGTGCGTCGGGATTGGATGTTTGGGGTGGTGTGGTGCAATTTCACAGCGCTGCTCCATCTACTTGTCAGCTCATCTAGCATGCTTACACTTGGAGCCATTGCCATTGACAGGTCAGTCATTAGGATACATTCTGTCATTTGGAGGATCCTTGTGTGTACAAGGAAAAGTTGCAATTTAATCTCTTTAACATATAAAAACAACACAGTAATATTATTTATTGCAATTGATACGAGGAAACAAGTACTTTGTCAATTTGTTAAATTTTATATTTTAGGTAGTCTAATTTGATTAGTTTTTCATTGCTTTTAGACTGTAGAACATTACTGATGACAAATTACATTGTGAAAGATTACATAATTTACTACAATTTTAACTTCAGTTGTAATCAGTAATGGGCTAGCGTGGACCAACACTAAAGTGAGTGTATGTTTACATGAGATTTTACAGTCTAAAAATAATTTAATAGAAAATTTTGTCAAAATATTAAAAGTTGATCATAATAATGAATAATTTCCCTTAACATAATATATAACTTCCTTTTGTTCTGTAATCTTTTTATACTAACACTAATCTGCCTTTTGGTCACAAACTATCAAATAATGTTCTCGGGTATTATCCCTACCAGGGATGGGCAGTATTTATGAAACCAGTATTTCAAGTATGTATTTCAAATACAAAATAGTATTTTGTAATTTGTATTTTATTGGGTTCATGAAAATAGGTTAATGTTTTGTATCAGTATACTTTAGTATCAACAAACTTTGTATTTCTCTATTTTTAAAATACTGTAAAATACTTTGCAGTCTACATAAAGACATCAAAAAATGCGGCCTTGATTGGTGCTTTCTCAGTTATTTGTCTAGAAAATTGATTAATAATGAAGAAGGGGGTCAATGGTTGGAGTATGGATGGAAACTATGCTACACACATAAAGAAAATAAGAGACAAATGGCATGGGTAAGTTTGGGAGCAAGTCAACAATCATTGAAAATAGTATACTGCAGAATGCTAAGACCAGTCATATATAATGGCTGTTTAGTGTACAATTTTGCATCAGCATCTTTGCTTAAGAAATGAGACGGAATAAAATATTAGTCTAAAAACAGGAATGTGGAGCCTACAGCACATGATCATTTTCAGTCTCAGTGCTCTAGGCGGAAATGCAGAGGAAGAAATAAAAGACATCTAAAGATGCTGTACTGGTGTTCACTAAGGTGGTAAACTAAGACACTTTCAGTTAAAGAAGAACTGAAAAACTCTTGGGAGAATAAGTAAAAAGCACAGATAATAGTAGTTTTGGATGGAATGCTGATGTAGATGCAAAAAAATAAGACTACCAAAATTAAAAAAAGTCCTACAGTGACGATTCCTACAGTACTACATTGGCTGTTTCAAATGCCAGCAGTTGATCTACAGGTGCGCTGTATAGTTAATGAAGAGGAAAGATGTCTGACTAAATATGTCACAGTGGCACAATACTGTTTATGAGACACAAAAAAATAATAATACTCCAGTCTATACAGACTGCTCAAAAACTCCAGACTCCCGTTACACAGAAGCAGGATGTATCAGAAGTTTATTTGATTTTTAACTTGTTCAACTTGATTTTTTTGAGATATCATGTTTTATGTTGTGCATTAAAGAGTACAATTGTAAAAAAAATGATTTATGGAAATAACAGTAAAACTATAGATTTTATTAGTTTTCAGAAAACATGTTTTTACTTTTAAGTATTGAAGATTTAAATTGCAAAAACTATAAATTTATTTAAAAAAATTAAGTGGGCAAAAAATGTAAGTAATTTCTTTATATCTCACCCTTTTAAAATATAAGACTGTTAACTAAGTCAGTTTAATGGTGAAGGGACTGATCGAATATGCCCATTGATGTAACCTTTGCGAAGAAATTTCCCTTGTAAAAGAATTTTGTAGTATTTTCATAATACAGTATTTTATTTTGATACTTGTTGTGGATGCTGTATTTTGTAGTTTATTTTGATAAATGTAAAGTTTAGGTATTTGGTAATTTATTTGAAAATACATTTCAATGTATTTTTGCCCATCCCTGATCCAACCTCCCCCCAAAAAATAAATAAATGAAACAAATTTAACACAGAAATGGAAATATGTCATTTTCAATCACACATGCTAAATCCACAGATTTTAAATGCATTCCTTCACTTGACCTATATTTAAGGGATGAATGAAAATTCTATCACATGCTGTTTTATTACACAGTCTGTAATTCAAGTTAATTTACCAACAATTCTTGTAAAAACATTTTATTTGAATGCCGTTGTCAATAACCACTCTGTAGTCCTTTAACCCTGCAGTCCATCATGCCATTTACGTCCAGTATTGCTTGAACAGTTCCTCTGTCTTCATGAACAAACACACATTGAAAAACATCAAACCTATTGAACTCTATCAAAGCACAAGCATAATCCCTCTAGTTTCTGCCTTAAGTCTTATATAGAAAGCCTCATTGTTGTATTATTGACCAGTCATGTGCGTCTCACAAGGGATTGATTGAAATGTATCTCTTTTATATCAAGGTACTATGCAGTATTATACCCCATGATCTACCCCATGAAAATCACCGGAAATCGAGCTGTGCTTGCAATCGTTTACATCTGGCTCCATTCCCTAGTTGGCTGCCTGCCGCCTCTTTTCGGATGGTCATCGTTTGAGTTTGACCGCTTCAAATGGACCTGCACGGTGTCCTGGCACAAGGAGATCAGCTATACTGCCTTTTGGGTTACATGGTGTTGCCTTTTGCCGCTGGTGGCCATGTTGGTCTGCTACGGAGTAATTTTCCGCGTAGCTCGCATCAAAGCTCGTAAGGTTTATTGCGGCAGTGTTGTGGTGTCTCAAGAAGAGTCCAGCTCTCAAAATAATGGCCGCAAAAACTCCAACACCTCAACATCTTCTAGTGGCAGCCGCAAAAGCCTGATTTACTCTGGGAGCCAATGCAAGGCCTTCATCACCATTTTAGTGGTTCTGGGGACATTTCTGACCACTTGGGGTCCTTATGTGGTTGTTATCAGCACCGAAGCACTATTAGGGAAAAATAGTGTTTCTCCACAAGTTGAGACGCTGGTTTCTTGGCTGTCTTTTACCAGTGCTGTGTGTCATCCACTTATTTATGGGCTGTGGAACAAGACTGTACGCAAGGAGCTGTTGGGGATGTGTTTTGACGATCGGTACTACAGAGAGTCATTTGTTATACGGCACCGGACCTCTCGTCTGTTTAGCATCTCAAACCGGATAACAGGTGAGTCTTCTGATGCTGCATGTTTTGAAGCTGAGGTGTAGCTTGGATGAGATGTCTAATGCTTATTGTTTAACAGATTTAGGGATGTCTCCTCATCTGACGGCCATGTTGGTTGGTGGAGGTCAGCTTTTGGGCCGTGGAAGCAGCACTGGAGACACTGGCTTCAGCTACACACAAGACTCAGGTAGACCGTCTGCTGTTTAACAAAGTTGAAGTTAGAATTTTTAGCCCCCCTTTTATTTTTTTTTTTTTTAAAACCTTTTTCAAATGATGTTTAACAAAGCAAGGAAATTTTCACAGTATGTCTGATAATATTTTTTCTTCAAGAGAAAGTCTTATTTGTTTTTGACGGTCTACAGAACAAACCATTGTTATACAATAACTTGCCTAATTAACCTAACCTGCCTAATTAACCTAATTAAGCCTTTAAATGTCCTTTTAAGCTGTATAGAAGTGTTTTGAAAAATATCTAGTCAAATCTAATATACTGTCATCCTGGCAAAGATAAAATAAATCAGCTATTAAAGATGAGTTATTAAAACTATTATGTTTAGAAATGGGTTGAAAAAAATCTACTCTCCGTTAAACAGAAATTGGGGAAAAGAATAAACAGGGGGCTAATACTTCAACTGTATGTGGGACCTCAAAAAAAAAAAAAACATGCTTTAGCACATCAAATATATGTATTTATTTAAATTACATTAAATTTATTAATAAACATATTTAAGTTTTCAGTGTTTTGTTGGATATTTAATGTATTCTGACCTACAGTGTAACCTCTGTCTAGCTGTTTCAGAGGAAGTTAGTGTAGTTCAAACTGCAGCTAATTTGACTTTACTTTTCGGCTTTTTATAGAAACAAACACCTATTTTACAAGAAAAATATCTTGTGAACACTTACAATGTGTATCGGTATTCTAGATCTGCTGGTTTCAGATTTTATTTCTCACATAGACTGACTGGTGCGATTATGCATTCACAATGGTATGCACCATTATGGGCTGGACAAATGCATATTTGTATTATCTATTGTTTTAATTATTAATATTATTATTTATGATACAAATCAGAGCAAACTATTTCTCACTATTTAGAGGGCTGACCACCCATACATGTTGTTTTGAGATGCTTCAGGGGTGGATCAGATAATAATTCAGAGGGTTTAATAATTCTGATTGCAATTGTAGATAACACAAGTCAAAGAGAATATACTTATTTAACTTTTGTTTTGTGCTGTTCATACAACGGCAAAAAATAAGTAAAAATCATCAATGCATGATTGATCACTGCATAAGAATTCTTGCATATCGTCTCTTCAGTTATTTATTTATATTTTATTATTGATGCACCAATTTTTTTATTGGTTTTTAATATTTTTTTATACTGATAACCAATAATTATTTACATTTGGAGGCCAATAGCTGATATAAAAGCAGATAACTACAAATCAAATTTAAGCAGTGCTAAGTTATTTATTTATTTAATTTATTGGGCTGATAATGATAACAATAAAAATAAGCATTTATAGGTTGCATTTATCGGTTTATGGCTGCTAAAATATCTGACTTGACTATTGCTATATTTTTTTTTTATTAATTAAATTTTAAATGTATTTTTTTCTGTTATTTTGGGGGCCTTAACAATAGCTGTTGCATTAAAATCCAATCCTAAGGAAAAAAGAAGCTATACAAACGTTGTGCCCAATATCTACTTTGTCATGAAAGACATTTAAATGGCTTTGAGTGAAATTAGGAGAGATGAGGTTGGATAAATTGACTTTTTTTAAGTCTGCATTTACTAAAATGATAAATGATTACTAAAGAAGCTCTGTGGTGATGAATATATATTATTTTGTAGTGATTACATGTATAGCAGCCAATATTATAGATAGTTTTATACTGAAAGTGAATTTTATACTGCCATCATTAAACATGATAAAATTAATGTTTAACAATATTAACAGGGCATCACAAGCAAACAAAATTGTTCATATGCTTGCGGCATTTGCTAACTTAATACGTTTGACTTTTCTTACATATTTATTCAATTAGACAAAATGGAATCAAATATTTATATCATGGTTTCTCTGTATAAGTCATGATTTTAATTTCACTGCGTCCTTTCCTCTCTTGAGCACCAGAAAAGCAAGATGAATCAACCCCCACAGCTCTTTAGCAGTCAGCATTGGTGGTTTATTGGCTTGCAGGCTGTTGTTATCAGGGTTTGCCATTTGAGGAAACACAGAGCCTATGAGTATGGCATAACAGGCAGACGGCAGAGCTCAGCGCTTCTCCCACAGTGTCCAGACTGGTGTGGGTGGGTGCTGGTGAGCGGTGTTAAAAGAGATATTTGATTGAAAGATGCCTGCTGTGATTTACCCTGTAGCAACAGACGTCATGCTGTTGGAGAGCTACACCTCAGAGGCGTCCCACTCAGCCCACTGCACCGCCAATAAGAGGAGGAGCTCGGTCACATTCGAGGACCAAGTGGATCACATACCACAAGGTATATCTGATGTGCTCTCGTTTTTCTTCTGATGAATGCAAAAAATGTCTTTGTTAGTTGTGACTCATGTGAAAACAAGCACACAGATTTGTGTGGTAGTTTACAGTTATTTTTGGATAGTACTGTGCTGTTTGATTTTGACTTACTGTTAAGAGTTTGCTTATGCATTTATTTGATTAAAATTTAGTAATATAGTGAAATAATAGAACCATTTAAAATGTTGGTTTTCCTATTTTAGATCTAAAGCACACCATTTATTTGTTATTACAATATTTTAAAGCTTCAGTTAAAATTGAGTCTAAAGGCTTGGAAAATGTTTGTTCCCGCTATTTTTGGAAGAGATTTAAACCAGGGGTGCCTAAATCTTTTCTTATGAAAGGCCAAAAATCAAACTAGATTGAGGCTAGTGAGCCGAAGGTAAATATAGCTGCCAAAAGTACTTCCTAATTTATTTAATAATGTTTAAAAATAACAGGAAAACATTGCTTTGTGTTAATTATAACATTTTGTAATGAACTTATTACAGTAAAACGATCTCATTAATAACAGAATGGGGTTATGCTAGTCAAGCTGCACCTGATTTTGCCTTGATTTGCTCGCAGATGTCTTCTGCATTGTTCTATATCTGTCGAGTGACAGTATTTACATTTTTACAAAGTATTTATTAACGTATTTACAATTAACGTTTAAATTTCGGTTGGCTTTTTTATAGCTCAGCAATAAAACAACAAAACTAAAAAGATTATTTAAACTAGAAATGACAATCTCTAATAAACAAGAAATGACAATCTCTAATAAACTCATTCACCCCTATCCTGCCTACTCCTTTGTCAGATGGGATGGTGGGCTAAATCAAAGGCTACAGCGGGACAACTTTGTCTAAAAGTTGTCTAATTTTGTCTAAAAGCATCTCTAATTTAAACAAACAATGTCCTAGATCAGGGGTGTCCAAACTCAGTCCTAGAGGGCCGGTGTCCTGCATAGTTTAGCTCCAACTTGCTTCAACTCACCTGCTAGGAAGATTCTAGTATATCTAGTAAGAGCTTGATTAGCTGCTTCAGGTGAATTTGATTGGGGTTGGAGCTAAACTCTTCAGGACACCGGCCCTCCAGGACAGAGTTTAGACACCCCTGTCCTAAATGTTTGAAAAAAATTCACAATGGTGCAGGTATAAATGCTATTCTCACAAACTGACGGAAAACGCTCATTGTATTATATTGTCATCTTGAATCTTTGTATGTACATTTTTATGAAGTGTTTTTTAACTATTTAAAACACTGCATTGTTCGCCAGTATTGTTGGTGTGTCTTACATCTGGTCAGAGATTACGTACGGTGTTATTACATTAACTTAATTTCAGCTTGATTTTGGTGAAAAGTTATAGCGAAAATCAGAGACGGGTTTCATCCATTACTTGTATCATCAGGGTATATACGGTGAAATTCATTACCTTTTTTTTTAACTCTTTCAATACATCAAGCCCTTATTGCCACTTTAGGTTTCAAACAGAAACATTGCCAATATTTTAACTTGCAATATATTTATTAAGTACTGATTTTAAGAAACTAATCCTAAACTAAAACATTGTGGCATCTATAACAGTCAGAATAAGAGTGTTTTCTTGTTTACTGCAGTAAACAAAGCAGTGTGATCAAATCTAGCAGGATTATATCGATTTATACTACCCAGCACTTAAATTCAGGCAAACTTTAGCATACTGATACAACATTTAATACCTTGTAAAATACTTTCTAAGGGCCTTTGACTTACTTGAATTGACTTACCAACTTTTAATACTTTTTAAGACCCCTTACACTCTGTTCAAGCTTTCATCTGCTTACAGGTGTAAAAATCTCTAACTAAACAAAAAAATGTAAAAAAAAAAAAAATGTATGTATGATTTCATTTATACAAAACATACATACGATTTCAAAAAGTTGGCATGCTCCCAAAGCCCACCTCTAAACCCAATCATTATTGGGGGATAAAAAAATACATACTAAAAAATAAAATTGAGATCGTACAAATTCAAACGAATTAGCCAGTAAATGAAAAAGTTACGAATTTCCTTGAGATTGCATTGAAAGAATTGTTGTGATACAGTGGTCCCCCGTTATTCGCAGGAGTTATGTTCTAAAAGAGATCCCCAAAAGGCGAAATCCGCGAAGTAGTCAACTTTATATTTTACAATTATTATTATTATTATAGATGTTTCAAGGCTGTAAAACCTCTCACTTCACACTTTATACTTTTCTCAGACCGGCATGAACATTAACTTTTCTCTCTTGTTTAAACACCCTCAAAGTTCAAACTTTCATAGAAAAGTAAGTCCAGTACTATAGAATGAAAGCAAAGATCAAAACCTGTTGTCAGGCACAAACATTTATCGCTGTTAGCAAAAGGTTCATAAAGCTTTTTAGCTTCTGTTTGGATAATATTGGCTTCCAGCGTAATGTTCTTTTTCCTGCAGTCACTGATCCACAAAGCTAAAACAGACTCCATCCTTACAGGGATCAACTTGCACACTGGATGCACTGTGCACATGACAGTTGGAAGTAACACACAGCAGACACGCACATTCACATGTTATTCATTTATTCATTTTCTATTCGGCTTAGTCCCTTTATCGCCACAACCGCCAAGTTATCCAGCATATGTTTTACACAGCGGATGCCCTTCCAGCTGCAACCCATCCCTGGGAAACATCTATACACAACGGAACAATTTCGCTTAACCAATTCACCTATAGCACATGTCTTTGGACTGTGGGGGAAACCAGAGCACCCGGAGAAAAGAAAAAAAAAAAGCAAACTTCACACAAAAATGCCAACTGACCTAGCTGAGGCTCAAATCAGCGACCTTCTTACTGTGAGGTGACAGCACTACCCACTGTGCCACCCATTCGCATGTTATTTAAAATAAAATTATTCAGATGGAGCTCTGGGGCTCGGCAGAAATATGAACAGTGTCCTGAGTCGTAGCTGGGCAACTGCAGCTGTAAATCTGTGTTTACAATTCTAAAAGGCATGGCGTGACGCATCCGGTGTGCAACTCCCTTTATGCTGTTCACACCAGACGCGGAACACGCGGATAAATCGCTCATAAATAGCCGAGTGAACATTTGAGTTTACTCGCTTCATTCGTGCGTCAAACCCCACTTCATCCACATGTCAAATTCACTTCAGAACAGACGCGGATTCGCGTGATGGGCAGGGCTTCTGTCTGCCCGAAGACTCTAGCTTCATAGCTAAATGGCTAATATGGATTTTATGAAGAAAATAACAGTGTTTATGTGTTTTATGAAGACTGAAAAACAGCGTTGATACATTTAGGGTCGTGTCTGAGTCCACTACATCCTTTCAGAGGTGCATCCAGCTCTGTGAGCTCATAAACTCCTCCAGAAATTTAACCTGGATGACGGAGGCTTTCAGCGGTGCTTCTGACAGAGCCAAGCCGAGTTTGATGAACTGTTGTCTGTGAAAGCTGGAGGATTTCCCTCGGAACACCGACAACAGGTTCTACGTCACAATCACGCCCCCACAAGAGCAAGCTTCTGATTGGTTAGCGCGAATGTACGCAAAAGTTCAGATTTTCGAACTCTAGATTCGCGCGAAATGCTCGTTAAGCGAGTCAAATGCGCAAAACGCTCAATTCGCCCCACGCCATTCGCGCCATTCGCGCGTATCGCGACACAGGATGTCTATTCACGCGTTTGCATTTACTTAACATGTAAATCACTCGCGCTTGATGCGCATTCCGTGTCTGGTGTGAACGCAGCATTATGATGGTCTTACTGCGGACAGCAACAACCCTTTTTACATCCTTCTCGGAAAACACTGTTAGCGATAAAAAAAAAAAAATGAAGTTAATTTGACAAGTTGAACACATTCTGTATTGTACAGGAGACACAGATGAGATTGATTGACAAGTCTACAGAAAATTAAGATGCAGAACACAATGCGATGTTAAAAAAATAAAATAAAAATCTGTGAAGCCGCAAAAGGTGAACCGAGTAATAGCGAGGGACCACTGTATACAAGATGAAGTGCTGAGCCAATGTGTTAAACCAATGAACCACTCCTAACCCTTTTCATTGGGGAAATATTTGTAAAACCTACCGATGCATGGGGACCAATAGCGTCAATTATGAGAAGTCAAAATATAAAGATGCAATTTTTCTAATATCAACAAAATAAAGAACATTGACTGAGAATTTGCCTACAATTTCCAATCATTGTCTTCCGTTTTGTGTTCTCCAGGTGACCCTTCAGTAGTCCAAGTGACGGCAGACATCCACAAATCTTTGGACAGTTTTGCATCCTCTCTGGCCAAGGCTATAGAGAACGACGCCAAGCTTCAGCTCTTAGGAGAATGGACACAAATTCCCACAAGTCTGTTCACAGTTCGAAACACACAGCGAGTGCCTCGGTATCTGGACGGACAGAGACTCAGGATGGAAAGCATCGATGAAGGAATAGTCAAAGATGATGATGATGATGAAGAAGAAATGGAGCGCGAGGAAAAAATGTAGTTCTTTCGACTGTGAACTTCTTCAAGGATCAGATTGTTATTTAATCTGCAGCTTTTGAAGGTACAGAATGTTATACAAACACATTGGCACATGTTTACAGATAAGACTGGCATACTATGTAATAAACTTGACTGTTTTAGCAAGCAACTGCTGCTGCTACATGCTTTCGTGAGACCAAAGCGCGACCATGATTGCTGTACCGCCAATGTTTCAGGTACTAGAAGCCCTACTGCATCTCACCAGAATATGTTTTTGTAACATAAAAGATACTGTAAAGTTATGTACAGCCGTCATATATGGTCAGGTGTTTGCGTTTAAATGTTTACTTCTTTTTTTTAATACAAGGAAATTGTAATCACTCTTTTATATGTACTGTTTGTAATTATGTTTGCTCCTCTCCAATTTTTCATGTTCAGGTTTGATAATATAATAAAATAACTGAAGTGCTGCAAGATTTGGAGAAAAGGTACCAAATATTTTGGAAGTTATCTAGATGTGGACAAGAAAACTTCTTAAAATTTCAAAATATTTTTTTCTGGCATTGAGCTGGCGTTCAGTAGGGGGAAAATCAGGCTAACAGAGATATTCTGGACATATTAGAAGGCAGAATACCCCATAAAATACAGTTTTTATAGTTCTGTGGAAAATTTGGATAAAGATATCCATCAGGCCCAAAGAGATTTAGTTTTTTTGCTGAAATTGTGAATCTTGGTGACAGTGGCGGATTTAGGCATGGGCAAAATGGCCGATCGCCCAGGGTAGCATCTTGCTGGAGGCGACATGGGGAAAAAAACATGCCCGAGTAAAAATCATATGCACCCCAGTAAGCTTTGAAATGTACAGTTTACTTTATGCAAATGTATTAAGTTAGAGTGGTAATCCAAGAATAAAGACTTAAGTGGCCATTCACATTTGGCGTTTTTTGCATGCGCAAGTTTGTTATTCTCTATGTGCAACGCGGGTAAAAGCAAACCGACAGACGCAGACAGAAAAACCATTCCTGGGTGCCTCACGCGCTCCTTCTGCTCTTGTTTTAATGCACGCCAATAAAATGTGCGCTGCTTATGCGCTGTGAAACGGAAGTAACGTTAAGGGCCTTTTCTGTTACTTTTATGACATATGTCGACACTAGCTTAATAAAGGGACTAAGCCGAAAATAAAATAAAAGAATGAATAATACAAATAATTTTATTTATAAAAAAAAATAGAGATCTTTTAAAAATCCTAATTCTGGTTTTGTCCAAATTTCACCCAAAGTTGGGTTAAAACAAATTGTTTTTAGAATGTACATGTTTAATCGTCCTTTTTCTAAAACTAGATGGTTTTGGGGAGGGGGCAGGGGGTATATGGGGTGATTTGCCCAGGGTGCCATTTAAGCTAGAACCACCACTGCTTGGTGATTCATTAAATGATCCACATTCTGCAGTATATAATCAAGACTCACAGGTATTAATTTTCTTTGCCTGTATGTATTTTTCTTTTTGACTCTCAAAGTGCCAGTAGTCATTGACTTGCATTTTACTTTAACACCAAAGACCACTGTTTCAGCTAAAAAAAATCTCAAATTCTTGAATTTTTGGGTAAACTGTCTCTTTGTAATATCACTGATAACTGCACTTGAAGATTTTATCAGTGACTTTTTTTCACATCAATGTTTTTTTCCTACCTTCTGTTCACTTCAGTTAAAATATTCTAAAAAGGTGTTCAGTAATGAATACCAATCTTGATAGGCTGCTTTGCCAATGACTGTATTGTTTGTCTGCAATCCACAGCACATACAGCAGTGGTCTCAAACTCAAGTCCTGGAAGCTCTGCAAAGTTTAGCTTCAACCACCTCCAACTCACACCACATCAAGTTTGAGGCCTATGACATACAGCAACGGGAAAGAGACCACTTGACAATTCTCAATTTCTCCTGTTTTCCACGTGGTAGTCATGTGTTTGAATAAAACATCGTTTATCTAGTGAACCAATAAATTATTGCAAATTTTAAAATAATATTCTCACAGATATTTATATATAAAATGGTCAAAATAACAAAATGTCACCTTGTGTTACACAAGTGTACATTCATATTTAGACAACACAATACCAGTTTTTTTTTTTTTGTTTTTTTTTTTGAAAAAAGTTAAGTCTAGATTTGATGAACAAACCTCTGATTTTACCATCGCAACAAATGAAAACATTTATTATTCTGACCAATGTTGATATGGTGTAAAACGGCTGTAAATGACAATATCTTTTACTTTAAGGTGCAGTAAGTTTGACACCCAGTGGTTTAACTAGGTATTGCACTCTTGGATCAAAACAGATGCAAGCGCAGGTTGCCAGATTGACAACACAAACAGCGAGACTGATTTAGATCCTGTTCTAAATAAAATAAAAGTTTTTTGTTCTAACCAGCATGTCAAATTAATATATTAGAAATGACTTCTATTTCTCACAGGTGGACAACAGGATAAACTGATAACCTCAAGTACACCTCATGGGCTTTATTCAGTGTTAAATTTTAATAATGTGAGTTTGAATGCCATTTTACATGACATTTATTGCCATATAATGAAAGCAGCAGCAGATAATTTACCTTAGATCTTGAAAATAAAACAAACCATTTCAAATTGAACTTTAGAATTGTGACTCAGTGCAAGCCAACACATATCAGTGATTCAGCATGTACATTTAATAATGTTAAAGAGGTTTAATAAGCATTAATTAGATTATAAACATAGCCATTTCGTGAGTGAGTGCACATTCTGTCCTTCTGAATAGCTGTTTTCAAATTTCTGTGGTGTTTCGTGTGGTAAAAACAGCCAAATTGCTCATCACTGCAAACCTCGTCAGGTAGCGTGTTGTTAGAACACACGGTTCCAATGTAGCCTGCTCACCTAATGTTTAGGCTCGTAACACTTATTTGCTAATTAATAACCAACTCATGTGGAACTCTGAATCTGCGTCTTATTTTGGAGTCTGCTATGGATGCATGCGTTGAGATTCTTCCTGATTCAATGAATGAAATATGTGGTTTTCCATAAAGGCATACCCCAGGGTGCTGAAATATAATTGGGTAAGCTAGCATTGGGTGGGTTAGAAAAACCATAAACAAGAAAGATATTCGGGCACGGAAAACACATTTTCAAAGCAGAATATCTGACTTCAGCATTGTTTTTCAGATAAACAAGAACGTTAATTTGCCAAGTTTCTTATATCTGCAAACATATTATGGTATTTTTATGCTTTAGAGAAGTCAAAAACTTACACGCAGCACCTTTAAAATTTAGCAATCTTATTATTTGACACTCAAACTCATACCCAATAAATCGAGAGAAACTGAAAAATGTCCAAATGGTCTCAGTTTTCCCCCATAGAAGTATATCATATTTTGTTATCTGTGTTATTAAACTCTGTATTGGTACCCAACAAGCTTTCAGTCGAGTTTTGCTTTAAATCACAACACATTTAATGTTTAAACCATCCTCTCACACACACAATTTGAAATGGAACTGGAACTTAATCTGAAGAAAACAAAACCAAAAAAAAAAAACAGTGGACAAAACATTTAAAAAGATGGCTTACATTCCTTAACAGCGTTGAATGAGGTTAGCACAGAATTAGATGAGGAGATATTTCATTTTAACTTCTCCCAGCGATCAGCAGTCACTTAGCAGAACATTCACACCAACAGCTGCCACAACAAAGGCCATCTGTGCTGTGAGGAGAAGGAGAGAGAGAGAGAAACACGACCTGCCAACTAATGCTACAACCATTTGGCTAGACAGCAGTGGGTTTATGTATAGACCGAGTCCAAAAACTATTCTTAATTTAATAAACCTTTATAAACATTCTGCAGTGTAACAACGTATAATGACGGTTTTGGATAATTAAATATTGCAAGTACCTGTAATTGGAGTTAGACAGAAGATGCCTGCGCGACGCGAGATTTAGTGATGACAAACAAACAAAAGAGAGAGCCATTTTTATACACAACATTGTTAGAGACTAAGAGCACGTTTTCGGCAAACTCATGTTTGACATGCATAATTCATGGTATACAAACATCAGAGTTCGTCATTTGAGGCTACGAGAAGATTTCACACATAACACCGTTCAAAAAAGCTCAACCATTTGATTTAACAAATTAATATTGCACTTAAATACTCTCTTCAAGCACCAGCCGTCTAAGTCTCATATTGACTTCTTGCACATCGCTTTTTTTATTATTTTTGCATGAACTCCCCAAACGCGGTTTACTCTCACATGGAGTAATTAGTAAGAAAAGTCTCGTTTAAAAAAGAACAATGCCAAAAAACTGAACCTATAGGGAAATACTCTATTTTGTAACTTGTGTACAAATCTCAAATGCTCAAGTGCATTGTAGCAAAAAAAGAACCGGTGACTTTTTAGCAGGAGCTACTGCTCGTCCTCGTTCTCTTGTCCTGAGCCTTCTGAACGATCGCCCTCCACGCGGTCTGAGGAGAGGAGAAAGAGCGCTCATTTACACACCTGTTCAGAGTCATAAATGCTAAATGCTACTATTAGTATCTGCTGACAGTAAACAAGACTGGTTAGTGTCTGGTGTGCTGCAGACACTCCACTGTTTTGCACAAAAGCTGAATATCGGAGCGTTTTTTTGGTTGTCATGAAAGCCAAACATTTGAACATACATGATCCACTGATTTGACAAATCAAAAACATAATGGAATTCAAATGTTTTGAGTCAATCACTTAATTGTTTTTTTTTAGCAAGGATGGATTTAATTGACTAGAAGTAGGGCTCATACACATTTTTACTACTAAAATTCCATGACTTTTCCAAAACTTTCCTGTACCTTTTCAAGACGTCATTTTTTTATGTAATACATATACATATACATGTTAGATAAAAAAAAAATATATATATATACATATATATCACAGAAATACAAAATATGGTAAAGTCAGATTTTTTCCAATACCGCGCAGCCCTAATTCAACTGTACAGATATTTGTTAAAATAATTTCCAAAAACGTTGTGGGTTTTTCTGTTTTTCCAAAACTTTTCCAGGCCTGGAAAATGCTATGTCAAAATTCCATGACTTTTCCAGGTTTTCCATAAACCATGTAGAAGTGTTTTCAACATTGATCGTAATAGGAATTCTGCATATTTCCATTTTTAAGGATAATGTGACAATAAAGAGTAATAATGCTGTAAACTGAGCTGTCATTACAAAAAATAAACCAGTTTTTTAAATGTATTAAAATGCAATAATTGTAATAATATTTCACAGTGTTTTATGTTTGATCAAATTAACGCAAAATCCTTTTTTGCGTTAAAAAAAACAGCTACTCAAAAACTATTTCAACCTCTAAATACTCAAGTTTCTCAGAATTTACTATGTGTGGATTTGAGTAAAATGTTAATATTTGTTTTATCATTTAATGATTTATAAATATTCTTATTTAAAGGTGTTT